GTGCAGTGTCGAGGTAACGGGTGCAGGAGTGAGCTGGGGGTCGGTGGGTGCTGGAGCAAAATGGTGGGGATCTGGGCAGAAGGGGGAGCAAAAGCAAAGGGGGATGGAGGATGTAGGCAGGAGGTAGGGTCTTGGGCAGGAGTGGGGTGGAGGCACAGGGTTTGGGTGATGGGGAGGGATGCTTACCTGAACCACCAGCGGCTCCCAGGCACTCCTGCTGCTACTTCCATTGGCTGTGATTCTGGCCAATCGGAGCAGCAGGGGAGATCCTCCATGTGCCCAGTCAGGGGAAGGGAAGCAGCTGTGTGCAGAGCAGCTTCTTCCCCACGCCAGGCATAGCTCATGGATTGTATCTGGTCCCAGCTTGCCTGACTCTCTCCACCTCCCCATAGCAGGGAGCCGGTGCTGGTGCTCCAGCCATGCAGGAGGAACTTTGGGAGGACGTGATCAGGACTGAAGCATCAGTGCAGGCTCCCTAATGCTGGGGGTGGGGAGGCCCCAAGCCTCAGTGGCTGGATCCAGGAAAGCTTGGGGCTTTAGGTTCCCCACCACTAGTTTAGAGCAGTGGTGGGAAACCTATGGCCCATTGGGGTTCTGTTTGCGGCCGACAAGACTTGTTTACCGTTGCCATGGACAGGCTTTCCAGATTCTGGTTTTCATCTTTGTAGATTTTTCTACCCGTATTGCACAAGTGGCATGTGAAGTGATGCATATGCTGATTGCACATAACATTGTGGGAGCTATGTGCTCCCTCTACATCCAGTCAAAGTACTGCTATGGTTCATTCAGCACCCCTGCAAATTCTAGGTACATAAGCACAGTTAGCAAAACTATCCTATCCTGGGATAGCCCTGTTCATTGAAATTAAAGCTGGAACAAGACTGAAATACTGGTTCCAGCCAGTTATCCATGTAGATTTTCAGCACACTTCTTACCTAGTTCTGGAAAAGTTATGTATTCAGTTCTTAGTGACATTACACAAAACAATGGCTTTGTTACAACAAATATTTTCTCAGCTGCACAATTTCTATAACATTAACAAGAAAAAAAATGAGAAGTACATCTTGTAGTACAGTAGTGGGAGGAAAAGTTCTTCTTTTTGTCCAGCCTTCAATTCTCCCTCTTGCCTTCGTTCTGGATTTTAACCACAAAATAATACAGTGAAAGCTTTGTTATCCAGCACTCTGTTAACCAGAAAACTTTATTAACCGGCATTGCCCCCAGCCACAATACTGTCAGATCTTCAGGCGCACAGGCCTGGCTTGGTTTACCATGATTTGCTTAACAATTTTTTATTTAAGAAGTACTAATCAACTTCAATTCAAAATAGAAATGTGAGACCAACTGCCTCATGTTACAAAACTAGCAGTATTAAAAACTTGAGTTTTACTATTATTGTCCATTGGTTTTTCTTAGGTTGATGGGTCCCTCAGATAACCGGAATTTTTAGATAACCACAACGCCCTAATCCCCCGAGCGTGCTGGATAACACAGGTTTTACTGTATGTTGAAAAAATTATTTTAAGATATTCAGAGATAATTAATAGGATGTGTCCATAACATTAACCATATCTTGTGATCTTTTCCTGTTGTAACTGTTATTCTTCCATGCTGATTTCCTCCTTCCTTTGTTTGTTAGTCATATAATCTTGAATTAAATCTATTTTTATAATCTCTTCAGGGCAGAGACGTGTCATTTTATTTGTAAAGTACGAGGGTCAGATATGGTGTTACATAAATTAGACACAATGGTAAGAGCAAAAAGGAGAAAATGCTGCTTGGCATGTTCTCTTCTTTCCTGCTGTTTTTCCTCAGGTGATGTCTTAAGGTAGGGTTTCCCTAAAAAGTTATCTAACCAAGATACTTGTGCAGATATGGTTTGAAAGATCCCCACTCTTTCATTGAATGGGAAGCAGTGTAACTAAGGGAGGGGATTGATACATTTTTTTTTCTCCTGGTTGTGCCATGACAAGGCAAGATTCTTAATATCTTTTTATCTCAGTTTTCCCATCTATAAAATAAGGATAATGACTGTAGTAGTTCAAGATTTATAGAGGAAAATATACTATTAATTATTTTATTATTTTGGTATAGCTATCTTAACTTGTTTCTTTTCTCTTTTTTTTCAGTAATGCTTCATTTTCCCTGGCTGGGTGCTTGACATTATGTCATAAATAAAACAGCATCCTTGAATTGTTAGCGAATGCTCTTGAAAGTAGGACAGCTAATTATGTTATCAGGTTATCACTGTCCTGTTTTTTAAAAGACCCATTATTTAATCAGACTAGCTTGGATTTAAATGAATATCCAAGAGAGCATTTCTTATAGCGTATGTTATAAAGGCTTGACCGATTAAAAATATTGGCTGGAGTGGTATGCACAAAAAATGGAAGGAATATTTTTACATTGTGATGTGTTGTAACAAACTTTTTTTGATCCTGCTCACAGTGAAGTCATTGAGTGTTTTCCCATTGACTTCAGCAATAGCAGTATCACAGGGAATTAATTACACAGGAACCAGTACTGTGAGGGCAGAGAAGGGACAGTCCCTTCTTTCTCACCCTTTCTGCCACTATACCAGCGCTGTGACTGGAGCAGGAGCCATGACACCTTTGTACCTACTCTCTGGATTCATGGCCCCCTGGTTCCATCTAATCATAACTGTGTGATCATGTATTTATAATTTATAAATACTTTCTAAAAGTTTGAATACTTTTTACAGTTGAAGAAACTTATAAGTTGGGTTCTTTCTAATAATGGAGTATTCAGGCATATAAACTGAAGGGCTTCGTCTACACTGGCATGATTTTGCACAAATACTTTTAAAGCAAGAGTTTTTGCGTTAAAGTATTTGCTCAGGAGAGCATCTACTCTGGCATGTGCCTTTGCGCAAGAGATGTGCTTTTGCGCAAAAGCATCTGTGCCAGTGTAGGCACTCTCTTGTGCAAGAAAGCTTCGATGGCCATTTTAGCCATCGGGCTTTCCTGCGCAAGAAATTAACGTTGCCTGTCTACACTGGCCTCTTGCGCAACAACAGTTGCGCAAGAGGGCTTATCCCTGAGCGGGAGCGTCAGAGTATTTGCTCAAGAAGCACTGATTTCCTACATTAGAATGTCAGTATTCTTGCGCAAGTACTCACAGCCAGTGTAGACAGGTGGCAAGATTTTACGCAAAATCTTGCCAATGTAGACACAGCCTAGGGTATTATTTATACAGTTTAGAATGTAAGAGCGAAACCAACAAATCTGCCTGATGATACATAATGTCTATGCATTGCAGACTTTCTGAGATGTAGTGTGTGTTCTGTATCTCTCTCACAGAAAAGTGTAAAATGTGATACCAACAGTTGGAGACTCTGAACAAAATCTGTTTTGAAACATGTTTTGGCTGCAGGTAAAACTACAGACCTCCTATCCCTTCTCAAAATGTTAAGTATTAAGAAAACATTTCCATTTCTTTTTCTGATTTCTTAGAAAACAAATGCCTTAGGTTAGGGATATGTGAGTTGGGTCAATTTCTGAGTTCTAAAATTATGACTCTTTTAGAATATTAAAGGTACATTGATTTGCTTCATTTCTTACAATTTTTTGATGTTCGTGTAATTCTGTGTACAGTAAAAGAATAAGAAAACACTCTTGATAAACCCTCCAATAATAAAACAGTATGCATGCCCAAAGGAGAAGCAAAACTGGGAAAGGAAACAGGTATTAGTTTCAGTCTTCCTAGAGGTTATTTTACAAAAAATAAGGAAAAGAAATCATTTTAAAAATTTGTAAAATATTTTGGCACTGGCTTCTTTTTTCAATTAACTTTTCATAAGAACCTCTCCTTAATATTAGAGAAAATACATTCTGCTGTCAGCTATGCCTTGTTCACTCAAACCTCTAGTGCAGATAGTAAATGATGGAATAACAGAATTTTTAGTCTCCTTTTTTCCTAAACGTGAACCTATTAAAGTCATTTTTGTTGTAACTACATTAACTTTGAAGTGACAGTTTGCATGAATTTGGCCACTGCTTTTAAAATTACTTGTTACTAATATGACTTGGCTTGCCTAAATTACTGTTGTGGAAATTGAATTCTGAGGATGGTTTCTGTACAGTTCTTTTTTAGGAATGCTGCTATGCAGAAGATTTTATCAACAAATATTGTCTCCAGATGCACTTCAAAATCAGCTAAGCATGGCTGGTCTGTGTGTTTAAGAAGCATTTTCTTTAACTCTGTCAAATACTGTCCTCCTAAATTAGTTCTGGGCATAGAAACTAGTTGTGATGATACAGGAGCTGCTGTGGTGGATGATAATGGCAACATCCTAGGAGAAGCTCTACATTCTCAAAATGAAATCCATTTGAAGTACGTAGACATTACTCAGAGTGCTTTATTTTCTAACTGCATTTGATTACTAATACTGTTGTCATTTACACTTGTATTTCATCAAGGGGGAGGTTCTTAAGTCTTAAGAAATATGAATTGGTTCTGATTATCAATTCTATTGAAATTTTCCACAACCACCAATCCTGAAGAGTATGTTATTTACCTGTCTCTGGGTCTAGACAAAAGAAAATTTGAAAAGGACACTCCTTGCTGAATTCCTGATGACAGAGATGGGTTGCAGAGTACCAACCCCTACAAATTAGTCTAATGCTAAATTAAAATAGGACATAAACCAAGCAAGAGCAAATTGAATCCTTGTATGGATTCCCATTGGAAGTGATGGTAACCTCACTATATGGGGCATTTAAAATCAAACTAGACAATGCTTTTAAATATACTGTAGAGTACAGCCCAGACACTGCAGCACTATAGTGTTTTTCTTCTCTTAGTTCTGTGATTCCATCTGTCATTAAATATGGACACTTCATAATTCTTTATTTGTAACCAGAACAGGTGGGATTATTCCTCCAGTGGCACAGCAGCTTCACAGAGAAAATATTGAGCGAATAGTAAAAGAAACACTCTGCGTCAGCGGAATCTCTCTAGATGAACTATCTGCTGTTGCAACTACAGTAAAGCCAGGACTCGCTTTAAGTCTTGGAGTGGGATTAGAATATAGTTTAAAGTTGGTGGACAAGTATAAAAAGCCTTTCATCCCTATCCATCACATGGAGGCACATGCACTTACAATTAGGCTAATAAACCAAGTGGACTTTCCTTTCTTAGTTCTTTTAATCTCTGGAGGCCACTGTATCCTGGCAGTAGCACAAGGAGTTTCAGATTTCCTGCTGCTTGGACAGTCAGTGGATGTAGCACCAGGAGACATGCTTGACAAGGTAATAGTTCAGTAGAGATTTATTTATGCATTTTGTAGAAGCACTTACATTTATTGTGTATATTTGCATCATAATTCGTCTGTCTCTTAACAGTAGCAAAAGTAATGGTGTGTATTCTTTAGGAAACTGAGACTCTGGCATTGCTTTAGGTAAGAATTTCTGTAAGCTTTAGAGCAGCTAATGTGTTTTCCAGCAGTGGGAAAACTGGAATTCAGTAACAGGTTAGGTTAATCACTTGCATAGATTAACCTTCTCTGTGTATTTTTATAGTTGTGACCCTAGATGCGTACCTTAAATAAATCTGAATAAACTGTTTTTTAAATATTAAATGGGCATTATTAAAGGAAGGATCTGATTTGGCTGATGTATATTTAAACTAAATGAATTTTCATTACAACTTCACAGGTTTAAATGAGTTAATCAGCAGGCTTTCTAGAATATCACTACAGACCATATAAAGAAAACAGTACAATATAAACAATAAACATTTTCTTTAATTTGAAATACTAGATATTTGAGGGCATAATGGCTACTAAATTATATGCATAATATTTCTTTAATTAGCATTATTAGTTGTTAGCTGGCAGCTAGCTATAACCTGGTTGGCCAGTGTACACTGAGGCTGGACACAAAGCTCCACAATATATGCAGTACATATTTGACTAGCAGTTATATTTAAAAGAATGCATTGTTTAAAATTATGTTTGGTTATTTTAAAATGACCTATCTATGTTACTAATTGTACCCAAAATAATTTGAAAAGTCTAGTTTATGTTTCACAAGTTATAGCGTGTTGATCACTGAATAAATAAAATTAGTCTCGCCAGTTTTGGTTTCTTATTTCCAAGCATTAGCACAGGTTTGAAAGGAAATTTTTAAACCAACCAAACCAAAAGTGTGAAATCCTTTCTATAAATGTTATCCTGGAGGTCTAATATAGCTGTCAGTATTCATTTCAAACCGAAAAAGAACTAGAGTTCTCATGTTTCTTGCAAAGTTTGAGGATCCTCATATTCATTCAGTTTACTGTAAACTTCTTCTAACCTTAGTCTCTTTGCCCTGGTCTACACTAGGGAATTATTTCTAAATAAATCCCCTTATTGTTTCAAAATAACCAGCCTGTTATTTTGAAATAATGGGCTTTTTGGTGTGGACACTCCGCTTATTAGTTTGAAATAAGTCCTGCTTTTCTTGGGGAACAATGCTTATTTCAAAATGGTTATTTCGAAATAGCATGAATGTAGACACTCAGCTACTCTTGTTTTGAAATAATTGGCCTTACAGCTGCATTTATGGCTGCTCTGGCCACACCTGACATCTCCAGAGCTTAAAGCAACAGGCTGAAGGAAAAGGGCCTGTGACACACATGGACCTTCCACAGTACCATGCACACAGCATCCATCTCAGGATCCATGTTGGACCCCAGTGCTCCCTCTGAGCCCTCAATGGCTGCCAGCACTCCCACAGCATCCTGGCCAGGGATGAAAGAGGGCTCCGACGTGGACTAATGCAGAGATCTTACACCTCATTGAGGTCTGGGGTGAGAAGACCAACCTCCAGGATCTCCACACCAGGAGGAGGAATGCCAATGTCTACAGCTGCATGGCTGCTAGCTTGGCCGAAAAAGGAGACCTTGGACCAGGTCCACAGGATACTAAAAGAGCTCCAGCAGCCCTACAACAAGGCCAGGAGCAACAAAGATGCTCTAGGGCAGCTCCTCACACCTGCCACTATTACAAGCAGCTTGATGCCCCCTCCCCATTGTTGTTGAGTCCAGCCAACACATACCTGACGTCAGCCTCCATGAGGGCAGGGTGGAGGCAGAAGAGGAGGAGCAGGCCACCATGAATGCCAGCCAGGAGCTGCTCCTCGCCCTGGAGCCAGTCCCCCTATACACATCAGCACGAGACCATGTGCTCCTCCCTGATCTGTGTGATGGACAGCATAGCCCTGTGTATGGAGCGGGTCACCAGCCACCTCCCGAACTCCCTGCCGCTCTTTGGCTTCCCCTCTTAACCCTCCCATTGGGACCCCAGAACACATGGCAACGGGACCTTGAGGGCAGCCAAAGCCTCCGGAGCTACCCAAGACAGGTGCCAGTCCCAGCCCCATCCCTGAGCTCACATTCCAGGTTCTTTCCCCAGTCCCTCCCCTGTTATATATACCCCCAATAAACAGTTGTTTTTACCCTCCCTCTCTCCTCCCCCCCAAAAAGGCTTTTTTATTTGCTCTGCAGAGGAGGGGGAAAAGGAGGGATAGAGGAGGAAAGGCACACTGGGGCAATGTAGGGACTCCTTGTCATGAGGCCCAGGGGAGAGTCTCTCAGGTGGCCTTGACTGAAACTCTCCCTCAAGCCCCTTGATGTGTTCATCAAATGGCACTGGTGTCTGGCTGCTCGTAAGCCCTGGCCAGCTGATCAGCCTCTGCCCCCCACTCTGACAGGAGAGTCTCCCCCTTGGAATACAGGCCGCTAGCACATAGGGGATGTTGCACTTGCTTATGTCCAGGCAGGTGAGGAGACTCCTAAACCTCCCCTTTAGGCGGCCGAAGGCATGCTCCATAGCCATATGGCACCTGCTCAGCTTTGCACTGAAGTTTTCTTTGGTGGGATCCAGGCTGCCCATGTAGGGCTTCATAAGCCAGCGGAATAAGGGATAGGCTGTGTTGCCCAGGATGCAGATTGGTATGTCCATGACCCTGACCCTAATGTATGCTGGCACTTTTTCCCCCGACTGCACCATCTTCTGGAACAGGCAGGAGTTCTGGAAGATGTGGGCATCATACACCTTCCCCAACCAGCCGATGTTAATGTTCGTGAACCAGCCCGTGGTGGTCCCTCAGAACCTGCAACAGCATAGAGAAGTACCCCTTTCTGTTGATATAGTCTGAGGCACAGAGGTCAGGGGCTAGGCTGGGGATATGAGTGTAGTATATACCCCCCCCCCTCTGCAGTTGGGGAAGCCTATGGCAGCAAACCTATCCACAAATGTGTCGACATTCCCCAGAGTGACAGCTCTCGACAGAAAGATGTTATTGATGGCCTTGACTACCTGCAGGAGTACAGCCCCACCTGTGGATTTCTCCATGCAAAACTGATTTCCAACGAAGCAATAGCTGTCCAGCCTGGCAAGCTTCCAGAGTGCAGTGGTACCACACAAGGCCTATGAGCCTAGCACTGCTTTGCAGCAGTTGTGGCTCCATGTTGGAAGTGCTACAGCATTTGCAAGGACAATCAGAGCACACAGTATGAGTTTGGTGTCCCACGAGGCAGTGGAGAAATGGCGTGTGAGATGCATCTGTAGAGAGGAGCCTCTGTAAGCATGTGTCTCGGCTAACCTTAGCAGGCAGCCATAGGAAGGGTTCGCCCACTTGGTGCCTTCCCTGGAGTGCTTCTGGGGGCTTTAAATCCAGTGTAAGCTCCAATCTGTGGATGCACTTTTTTGAAATTATTATTTCAGAAGTTATTTTGCAATAAGTCATTTTGAAATAATTTCCTAGTGTAGACATGCCTATTTTCTCCTTGCACCTACTTCCCAATATATAAACTCTTGGCCAAATTCATCCCTAGAATAACTTATCTGACTGGAGTTATAGTGGAGCAATGTAGTTACATCAGGGATCAATATGGCCCTATTCCCCAACTCTTCTTTCCAAGACTATTGTAAGCATAACTAGCTTTTTTTCCTCCCCGCTCTAGGTAGCAAGAAGACTCTCTCTAACAAAGCACCCAGAGTGCTGCAGCATGAGTGGTGGGAAAGCTATTGAGCACTTGGCCCAGCGGGGAAACAGGCAGCATTATGAACTCAGAGCTCCCATGAGACATCATCCTAACTGCAATTTTTCCTTTTCTGGATTTCTTTGCAATGCCACTAGAATAATTAAGCAAAAAGAAAAGGAAGAAGGTATTTTTCAAAGTAAGAGATATATAAATTGTGCCTGTTTTGCAGTTTTATTTGGGAAAATGCATTTGCTTACAATTTCTACAGGTCTACAGGAGGGCCATCTCATGTCCTGCGTTACAGACATTGCTGCTGCAATACAGCATGCAGTAGCACTTCATATTGCTGAGCGAACACACCGGGCCATTCTGTTCTGCATAAAAACTGGTATCCTATCGCAAACAAATGCATCCTTGGTAAGTATATATAATTTTACTATCTGTGTCAAGGGGTAACATGTAACAGCACCTGGAGAAAGACATTAGAACCTTCCTTGATATTTCCAGTGATGATAACACTGCTCCAGCATTTAAAATAAATGCATGTAATACGTTTGGTGGAACATAGAAATCCTTTAAATAAATTCTGCTGCAGTAATGTGTGGTGCTACATAGAGGATTGCATAGTGGTGCATTGTTTAAGTAATTTAAAAATTTTCTTACATGTCTATATTTGTATTATATATATTTAGATGCATTAGGAACATCTATCCACAGTTAGATGGTTCTCCAAATGATCTCAAAGCATTGTATAAAGTTAACAAGCTGATATGAAAACTACATGTAGAGATAGCATCACCCTTCACTGATATTTGGACCACTCGGTTTCTGAACACATCATTTGTTTCAACTGAGCTATACTAGGAAGCAATTCAGGAGAGGAAGTAAAAATAAAACATGAAGATGAAAGTAGGAGAATTTACAGTTAGACAGAAGATGATTAGCCAAGTTTAAAATTGGCCAGGATTAGCACTTCAGTCTTGTTAAAAGTACCATGATATTTTTAATTACTAAAAGCGCTCATGACAGTAGTTCTGTGTCTCATGCAAAAGAGAGTATCTCTAGCAAAACAGTACCCTTTCTCCACTTTTGCATTTCTGTGCTGGGACATTTAGTAAGCATTGACTTAGAGAGAAGAGTGGCACCTATTAAATTGCCAACATTACTTCCATTAGTATCTTGCTTTTCATTGGAGCTTTCTTATCACATCCTTGGTAAGATTCAACTCTATTAAATTTGTGAAATCTGACAGCCCAAGGTGGTATGGCTGCAGGGTATTGTAGAGGTACTGTTTCAGAATTCTTCATTTATTGTCAACTAGACTAGAAGATTTATCCAGTGTTTGGGTCCTTAACACGTTTTTTGGAAAATAAAATGAAAATATACATGCTTCATTTAAATCATTGCTTTAGGATGGGGCTGAGGATGATGGGTTCATTATGCAGGTTACCCCAAGAAGAGAGGACTACCCCAGGCCTCTCTCATCACAGCAGCTTGGGGCCAGGTGAGACGCTCATCTCCATGGCAGCTGCAGCTCCAGCAGGCACAACTGGGGGAGGGGTGCATGTTCCCCAGGCTGGGACAGGTTCAGGTTCAGCTGCCCCTGTACTCCCCAGCTAGAGTGAGGAATGCAGCAAACTCTGCCCTTTCCCCTTGTTCCCTGACTAAGGGGAACAGCCAGCAACATCCCTGTACAAATTGGGGGGCAGCTTCAGCCTCCTCCCCTTCCCTAAAGGGCACCTGAGGCTGGAGGTAGGAAGCTGGAGTGGTCCCGAATGGGGGAGAAGAAGGGCATGTCCTCAGCCAGCCCTGTTCACCTGCCTGATGGTTCTGTCTCTTTTCTGTTTGGTTTTACTAGGGGGTTGTGCCCCCTGTTCGCTGTGCTCTCCAACCCCCCCTCTCTGGGGCTAAGCAGCTCCAGCTTTCTCCCCCTGGCTGCTGGGCCCTTGTAAGCCCAGCCCAGCCCAGCCTCCGCTCTCTGCTGCATGGCCGTCAAGGGACTGGTCTGGGCCAAGGCCATGGCTGGCCCAGTTCTCTTCCTCCAGCTGCTGGGGGGCCTGGCCGGGGCCGCAGTTGGCCCAGCTCTGTCCCTCCAGCCACTGGAGGGGAAGGCCAGGCCAAGGTTGGCTCAGCTGTCTTCCTTCAGCCACTTGGGGATTGGGCCAGACTGAGGCTGCAGCTGGCCACCCTCTCCCTCCCCCCCCCCAGCAAGGGGGGAAGTTCACACCCCCCCACCTCACATACAAGGGGAAAAAGGTCGCATGGCTTTGGCCTTGCCTACCTACCCCCCATCTCACCCCTCATGAGGGGTAAAGGCCGCCTGGCCTCAGCCCCTCCATGAGGGGGAAAGGCCGCTTGGCTCCACCACGCCCCACAGTGGGGGAAGGCCGCCTGACTCCCACTGCGTGCGAGAGTACTGGGCAGGGCGGCTGAAGAAGGGGCTGTGGAATCCCAGAGTGACATAATTATGTCTCTGTCATCCCACAGGAAATTTTTTTTAACATATAGAGAGGTGAAAAGCAATCACATTCCAGGCATATCCAAACCCTGACCTTGCTTTAAGTTACAATAAGAGGAAGCTGCATTCCAAATTTGGTGTTCCTAGCCCTTATCATTTAAGAGGAGTTCTTTAACTAACAGACAGATGGAAAGACAGACAAACTCTCCCAAGTATATAGTATAAAATCTGACATTTTATCTTAATAAATATGAAAAATAATATTTTCTTAATTGTCGTGCTGTTAATGCCACTAAGCCATGTACTTCTATTCTGTGATGCTTTAAGTTTTATGAAATACAATGAAAAAGTTTAAAGATTTTAGTGAACATGTGAAAATGTCAATGAACTCTGCTTATAACTGGATTTCTTTTTCTTGTTATTCAGTTACACTGAGCTCTCTTCCATAAGATAACTAGAGCTTGTCAGAAAATAGGACACTTTTTCATGGAAGATCTTCCTCTTCCACTATTGTCCTTTTTCTTCTTGAAAGAGTTCAAAAACGTGAAATGTTTTGACTGTGTCTAAAGGTAAAATGTGTAGTTGCTGTAAAACCTTGAAGATTACTTACCTTTTCATGTATTACAGCATCCTAATTATATAAGTGAAAAATTCCTAAATTAATCATAAAATGATCATATGGCAAATCCAATAAAACTTCCAATAATATTCTTCACTGTACAAGGACACACAGGTAACAGCAAGCAGAATTTTCAATGACTTCAACTACTGGACGCATAAATAGATGACACTTTTTAACTGACTCTAATGCTAGAATTACGTGACATTTTTTTTAAAAAGAAATGTCTTTGCCTGCTGCATAGGAGCATTTTACACAATAGTCAACTTGTGTAACTTTTTGCCAGGGGGTGTTGTGAAGACTAAAACTATAACAAAGTTCAGAAAAGAAATATGTTCATGGAGGATAGGTCCATTGATGATTATTAGCCAGATGGACATGGATGCATCCCCATTCTTGGGTCCCTACCCTTTGACTATCAGAAGCTAAGAAAGTAGTCGACAGAAGGTGGAGCACTTGACTACCATTCTGTTCATTCCCTCTGCAGCATCTGGCAGTGGTTGCTATCAGAAAATAGGATACTAGGTTAGATGGACCATTGGTCTGAGCCAGTATGGACATTCTTACGAACTTTCTTCAATATCTTCATCAAGTTTTTTGTTCAACTAGTACACTATCAGCTGTTCATTATTTACTTTTTGAATGTGTTTGCCTGTCTTTTAACAATTGTTGTCAGGTTGTATCAGGAGGAGTTGCAAGTAACCAGTATATCCGAAGAGTTCTGCAAACTGTAACCAATGCAACCAACTTCAATTTGCTGTGTCCTCCACCCAAACTCTGTACTGACAATGGTGTTATGATTGCATGGTGAGCAAAGACTGTGGTTTTATGCTGTTTTTTAATGTTCTTTAAAGCTATGATACAACATGTGAAAAGCCAATTGACATTGTACAGCTTGAACCTCCTTAAACCAGGACTTTCTAGTCCAGCAACATCTGTGGTCCTACTAGACCACAGATCATGTTGGACCAGAGAGTTCTGGACTAAAGAGGTTCAAACTATCCCAACAGGGCTGGGAGGCTGGAGACAGGAGACCCTCCCCTGGTCCAGTAAATTTCCTTATTAGGGACTGGTCAAGCCATGAGGGTGCTGGATCAAGGAGATCCAACTTGTAATTGTGTAAGAATTTTTCCTTATTGTAATGAAGTCACACTGATAATGTGTCATGCAGATAAAAAGACATTTGTACATCAAGTATGAAGTGCATTTTACATTAATATTCTCTGTTTAGGAATGGCATTGAAAGGATGCGTGCAGGACTAGGTGTGTTACATAGCACAGATGGCATTCGCTATGAACCAAAGTAAGTGGCATAGCTCCTACCAGTACATTTTTGTAGGGTCATGCTGCATTTTAACTTCATGCAATCATTTTAATGTAAGCCTCTTTCAATTCCACAATCAGATTTTATTATGTGAATCTTCTTGTGATGCAGTTGTGCTTTTTAAATCTCAGTAACTTTTTACTTCAATTAGATAAGATTCAAATACAATTTAACTTATTTACCCCTTTTTGTTCATAGACCTTAAAGCACTTTATGAAGTTGGATAAATATCATTATTCCTATTGTAATACAGGAAGATTGAGACATGAAGAGGTTAAACATCTTGCTCATGGCCATTTAATTAATGGTCGCAGAGCCAGGTATGGAACTAGAACTGAGGTTTTCTGGCTCTGAAATCATTGTCCTATGCAGTGAACCCAGCTGCCTCTCTGTTCATGATCAGCCATGCAGTGCTAAGTTTAGATTGGGTGCACATTCCTGAGATGGAGTATCTGTTGGCGAAGACTGCAGTGGCACACAAGTCCCAGCCTGTTGTAAGGAACTGGAGACAGGCTAGTACTTTCCCAAAATTGAACAGAAGGCATGTGAAGGATATGTTGACCTCTCAGATGCCTCTACCAGTGGGGATGCTGACAAGCCTTAACCATTAAAAAAAAAAAAGAAGCAGTGCTACCTCCCAGCATCCTGAGGGGAATCTTGAAGGAGGACAGCAGTAGACACCTTCTCAGCAAAGCTCCACTGTTCATCAATCTGGCCTAGGTCTTTAGATAAGAGTTTAAAATACTGCTTTTTTAAGCAAGACATCTTGAATAACATTTGATGCAGAAAAGTCTGGTAATATACAGTACTTATACTGCATGGCCTGTTTTATGAGGTTATGTAGGTTTTGGAAGGAATGGAAGTAGGGATGTTGAAAAGCATTTGGGAAACGTTGGAGATACCCTGATCTTAAAATGCTAACTGTGATCTGTGTTACTATGAAATGGGCCTTCATCTTTTCCTCTTCTCAATAAAAGCAGACTTTTTTGGTGCTTCTTAGGAAACAGATTTGCAGTTTTCCCATAGAACAAATATGTTGGAATGTCATGTTTCAAAGAGTATTTGTGTAAGGCTTCATTAATTTTAAAAAAATAAGGATACCTTACTTTGCTGCAGTCCCACAGAACAGATAGACTGGCACAGGACAACTCTCTTGGGAACTTCTGTTGTTTCTTGCATTCACCAGTGTTAGCAATGGGATGAAAATTGTGAATTGTCAACTTGCATCAAAGTGAAAAAGAAAAGTAACTTGCTGGGAGGAAGGGGGTACAAACCATCACTATAGCCAAAGGTCATCTCTTCTGCTGTATTCCAGGTTCTAGTTCAGACAGTAGGGTAATCTCTTCAACTAGGTGGTAGGGACAGAAACAGCAAACTCTTAGAAGCAGCTATAAATAAATTGAGCCCTTATAGTTTGCTTCTGTGACCTGACTTTCTGGAGAGAGAAAACAGACAGAGAAGCTTTCTGCTTCTGGTTCAATAATGCTAATACATTTGATTTGACCTGGCCTGGGGTTTTTTTCCCTTTACTTTCTTAACACTATGAATCTGTGTTTTCGCCAGCTGCTGACCTCCTATACTGCGTATTCTGTCACTTTACTGGACCTTTACCCAATGGTTTACAACCATTTGTTCACAAACTATTGTATTTCTGATTTCTTTTTACTTTGATTAGTCTCTGGCTAGCTGTCAAATACTTTCAGCCAGTTGCTCATTTTCCTTCCAAGTGTATATCCAGCCTATTTTAAATGAGAGATTAACCATATCTTGAACATTTACATGTCTAACAAGAACTATTAATGTGCCACTTGCTTTTTTGTTAACTCTATTGAGTAAAAAAATTTAAATTGAAACTAGTTGAAATCCTTGTTTAGGAATCTTTGCAGTGTTTTATATTCACAATTCCTTATCTCAGTTAGAGGAGAGATGCTTGGGAGGAAAGTGGAGAAAATATTTCTGTGTATACAGGGACCACTTAAGCAGCCAAGAATACACAGGGTACAAGGAAAATCCATGTTCCTTTATCCCTGTGCTGGCTACCCGATCTTCTGTGCTAGCTCTACACAATGGTGGGATCCCTCTCTCCTGTGGTAGTCCTTCCATGACTGGACAGTTTTATTACTTGCAGAACATATGTGGGTTAATTCTAAGCTCATTGATATCTATGGCAGTTCAGCCATTGTCCTCAGTGGGACCAAGATTTCACCCCTGGTGTCATACTTAGCCTGGGACATAACCAGGAGCAATTCCCATTAACTTCAGTAACAGTGCTGCTCCTTTAATTTCACTTGGGCTGAGTTTTGGTTCCTTTTGCTAATAAAAGACTGACTTTTGAAGAGTCTCATAACCCATGTTTTAAAGACAAGGTGAGAGAGAAAAGTCTAATTGCATACAGATGTTGTTTCTGGCCTGGAGATAGTAAGTTTCTTTTTCTGTGCATATCATCTGTGACCAGACACTTAGTAGAGAGTAGCGACCTATTAATATGGAAAGAAAGAACCTGCAATACTATACTAACTGTCACTGGAGAAGGGGAATGCTACAAAAACATAACGGGTTAGATGAAACTAGTACATCATCATGCTATGATCAAGGAAACCTTTATAAAAAGGGAAGTTGGATACAATAAAATACAGTAAGTGCTTTATAGATTTACAAATTTTCATTTGCTGTATAAAGCTAACAGGCGTCAAACAACAAATACTCTCTCATAATGCTTACTACTTTAAATAGGTAGCTTCATAGTTGAGTAAATGTCTAGCTTTATTGCCCTAATTATAAAATATTATTTGTTTAAAATAAATAATATAATGCTTGTTATATTATAGAGCACCTCTTGGAATTGATATCTCAAAACAAGTCAGAGAAGTTGCCATCAAGGTACCAAGGCTAGAAGTGATGATTTGATGCATGGATTTTAAAGGAAGAACTTATTAAAATGAATGCAGTTAAAGGCTCAATAAAAGTTATTTCAGAATTGTTACATTTACTATCTGTACTCATTTTACAATTGTAGAGGATTATCTATTGTATGCTGTGATGCCATTGAGATGTTTCAAATTACTAAACTGAAGTGGGGGAAAATCTGTAGCTATCAAGATGAAAGCTTAAAAAAGGAAGAAAAAATTAACAGCAATTGTAAATGATCATGTTTGAGCAAAAGTTTCTCTAGCATTTGTCCTTTTTGTATTTTCTGTGAATTTATTCATACAAATAGCATGTATGCATAAATATATTGCAAGTGTAGCCTAATAAATCCCTTGGAAAATCTGAGAATTAGGAGCCTAATTTCCTTAGAACCATCCCTAATAAATAGAACTTGAATTTTTGGGTACACTTAATGCCATTGCTTATTGATTTGTTTTTAAAAGAATAAGAATAAATACTGTATTAACATATGTGCGATGATAAAATCATTTCCAAGTTTTGAATTTGATAGCTATTCTCACTTTTCTCTTTTGCACTTGATTATAGGTATTCAAAAAGTACCCACACTATCAATAGCAAAACATGAATGACTAAGGATGATAATAATTATTACAAAGCACCTGTCATACCAATCCCCTTTCAAAAGTGCAGCATGATCCCCTTTCATTAGGGAGACAGTTTATCATGCTGGTGTCATAGCCCTACCTCCTTGAGCAAATTAAAGGAAGTGTTTTTCCATCCTCCCCACTTATGTGCATCGTGCAAGGATTAGAGACAATCTGGCCCCAGCTGTCACTGAATCAGTGGTTTATTTTGGACTTAAATAACACTGGCTTTCTAAAGGTGCTATCTTTTGAATATGATATAAAAATAAGGTTTGCAATACTTGGTCAGTCAGAGATCCCATGCCACCTTTTGTAAGTCTGTGGGACTAACGTGATTATCATAGCAAAACTGAAATGTGGGCAGATATAAACTCCTGTATTTTAAGAGGCATCTGATGTCTTTCTCTTCCTCTAAATAATTGGATAGCAGTCACTGCACTTCAGTAGAAATGTATTTTTATAAATCAATTTACAAAGCACTTTGGTATCCTCTTAACTTACTTTCTCATATATCAAAGTAAGAGTCATTGCAGGTATTCACTTTTCCACAGTACAATCGCAAACTGCTATTTGTTAGCTTTTGTGTTTTGAAGCATAAAAAAAGCTTTGTCATATTCAAAAATACTTGTTTGGACATTATGTACAGTTTATGGCCTATTTTTCAATCCAACTTTTTACACCAAAAGTCTCTAAATGAACTTGAAATTTTCAACTTATAACACATCTGTTTTGGGAATTATTGTTCATGCTATTATTGAAATGTTTGTATTTTCTAGTCTGCTCTTACTAACACATCTGACCAATGTAAGCATCCATAAGGGCAACTGTGCTATTTCATAGGTAGAACAGGGAGCTGGAAGTTAGGAGATTTGTTCTATTCTCATATGCCACTGACCACTTGCATGACCTGGGAATTCTGTGCTTCAGTTTTTCCATGTGTAAAATAGGAATAATTTAATAGTGTAGTAGTTACATTTTTGAACTTACCTACAGCTCTTCAACAGAGTGTTTTCCAAAGGTATCAGTCTTAGTTAATATTAACTATATACTCAATTATCCTTTTGTAATACAGAACAATAGTTTAAAAGAGGCAAATTTTCATAGCACTTCAAGATTTTGGCTATACTAGTCGACTGATCTTAGAACTCTGCACAATATCTGAATATAGAAGATGCAAGTATTTTGTAGCAGCTATTTTGCAGCTCTTGTATCTGTTAACAGAAGGCACTGTATGATTAAAAACAGAACTTAATTTCACCCAAATATAAAACAAACTGCACACAATAGCCTATACTGATGCCTGTGAGTCATGATTTTGAAATGTATTTTCAGTGCATTTATTCTTTACTACTGCAGCAAATTTAATTATTCTCAGACTGCCTCCATAGCTCCACACATAGCTCTCTTTTTTTAAACAGTTTAGGTTTCCAAAATTAGGCATCAAGAAATTTAGTTTTGAAAGACTGTTTACAAATCTCCACAATATTGCATGGATATAAGTACTTATCTGCTACATTGTTGGCACTGGACTCAAGCTTGTTTTACTAATGAGATAAGCTGGAGCTTGCTGACATCAAAAATTCTTGGTCTTGAAATTTCTGTGATGTCTGAAGTTGCATGTGCAAATGAACGAAGTCCAGTGGTCTGGCCACGGGGTTTGTCTGTAGTTCTGAGTTTTCCCATTAAATGAGCAGATATAGGCATTAAAAGAAGAGAGTCCTTTGCACGAAATTTAGATTTGAACTGTCTTCTACCACTACTACTTTGTGATCTCTCTGCAAAATAAAAAGCACTGTAATTTGTTTTTTGCAGCAAAAGATTGTGTGCATGTCCCTAAATTTTGTGTCCTTGCAAATTTGTGACCCCCTATGACAAATAATAATATTTTACATTTGGAATAGAAACTTTTATATGCTCCTTACATTTACCCAAACCATCTAATTAGTTAAATTGAGAAAATTGAGAATTCCAACTAAAGTCATCGTTCCAGTTTCAGAAGTAGGAAATTGCATTTAATACAAGTAGCTTGAGTATGGAGGTAATTTCTAAAATAAATTAAAAGTATGCCTGCATGAAAACATTAATGGTCTTTTGAGGAGTGTTTCTGCAGATCACCTTTCTTGTGATGTGTTGATAGCTAATTAATTAATTAATCTGTGAACTTCGAAGTGAGTTAAACATATCATATACCTTTAGCATAGGTTGGAACTGTAGGTGGTCCTCCATTTATCATCAAACTGTAAATAAAATATTAACAATTTAGGAATTGTTATTGTTAAAGCACTCTGTTTTTCCTTGGATTAATAACATAAAGGCCCTCGGTATAAAAATATAGTTTGAGTATTTATTATGAACTCACAAAACTCAAATGAGTTTAATTTTAACTAATCTGCATTTGATCTACATATTTGATTCTTGGCCTGAAAACTTGCATACAATTAGCTTTAAGCACATAAGTAGTCCCTTTGAAGTTAATACTTTTATTCTAGGCATATAACATATTTTTAAAATTCCAGTGTCAGAAAATGTTACAAGTGCTTCTTAATTACTCATTTAGTACCTCATTTTGTCTGTAAAATCAGTACAATAATAATCTCAGAAATACTGAAAGATTTAACTGTTGTTTGTGAAGTGGTTTGAGATTGTCTAACTAAAGCTGCTTATTAACTAAGAATTTTTAAAAATATTTTCTAAAGTCAAGGTTAATTAACAGGATGCTTGTTAGACTCTTAGGTAGACAAACTGAGATCTACATGGATTCTTACTGGTTTTGGCCCATGTCACTTATTGAAAGGAATATGATTCAGGATATCTTTGTAAATTTAACAAAAAACACTAGGAAGTATATCATTATAAAACTAAATCCCCATTAATATTACAAAAGCAAACTAAGCAATTGTATTATCAAATCAAGATTAAATATATACATTGGTAATACTGAATTAAAATCAAACTATCAAATTATTTAAATAGTCAGATTGATACAAATAATGAAACCTCATTAATTCTGAGATGCATTCTAAGGAAGTTATAACCCACCCCCCTCCAACCACCAAAGGCAATGAAATATTAATATAGATTTGGGTGAATATACTAAAGGAAAGAACCTGAAACCAAATTCAGCCTGATCAAATCAGAGTTAAGTAATATTTAAGCTGTCAGTCTGGAAAGGTTCTCCTTAACCTAAGCAGTTTTAATGTTAGTTGTGTACAGCATGCACTGTGAGTCTTTGATACTTCAAAATACATACCAAAAAAAGAGGCACAAGACCATTTCAAAGGATGCTAATGTCAGGCATCAACAAACAGAAAGTGGATTTATAGGTAACTGGTTGCAAAGACCTTAGCAAACACAGAAGCCATTCGGCATGTATCCATCAGAACTCAACATTAAAAATAAATGTGGACATCTTATGACCAGGTTGGGGTGGGTGTGTGTGTGTGTGTGTGTGTGTGTGTGTGTGTGTGCGCGCAAACGAGACAATTTAGCGATGTTCATCTATTGGTGTATAAGTCATGCAAAAAAGATTATCAGATTTTTACTTAATGTTTCAGATGGAACCAGTTTACAATAAAGTTTAGACAAGGTTTGTAGTCTCTTACTCTCAAAATATGACATTCTGAGTGCTACAGACTTTTATGGCCACTTTTAAAGAAAAATCTGTATGATTCAACTACAGTTCTATCGCTCATATATAAAGATGACTAAAACTTACAAATATGCACTTTAGAGAAACACCAGTACATATGCATAAGGTGGCAAAAATTGACATCAGTGGAAGCAGGAAGTAGGCCAGTAATTAATTTTTTTTCATCCCACACTATTTTAAGACCAAAGCAGACTGTGAAGAGCTTCAAAAAGATCTCCCCAAACTGAGGCTAGATCTACACTATAGCCTTTTTTCAGAAAAAGCTATGCAAATTGCGCTCTGCAATTTGCATAGCTTTTTTCGATTGCTTTTCCAGAAGAGGCTTTTCCACTATTTGGCCCCATCAATACGGGGCCAAATGGTGGAAAAGCCTCCTTTTTCGGAGGAGCCCTTATTCCTTGTAGAACGAGGTATACAGGGCTCCCTGAAAGAGTGCATTTGCTCTTCTGCAAAAAAAAGCAGAAAAGCAAACACGTTCCCTGGGAATAGTAATAGAGATGTAGCTGTGTTAGTCTAGTCTAGCTGAAACAAAAAACAGGACTATGTAGCACTTTAAAGACTAACAAGATGGTTTATTAGGTGATGAGCTTTCGTGGGCCAGACCCACTTCCTCAGATCAAATTGTGGAAGAAACATATATATTAGGATTGGGTAAGATAATTAGCGTCTTTTTAAGACCCCGGCATAAAGTGTCAAAATTTAAGCATGAATGACAGTTCAGAGTTATAACTAAGTGAGTTATAAGATCAAGAACACATATTCCTGTGCATCCAGAAATATAATTTATGCTATCATGTGCTGATTTCATGCCCCCTCTGTTCTGAAATTTGATTTGTCCTTTTTATATGTGTTCACTTTTTTTGATTGTATCCCTTGGTATATATGGTCGTGCCTATTTTCTTCCACAATTTGATCTGAGGAAGGGGGTCTGGCCCACGAAAGTTCATCACCTAATAAACCATCTTGTTAGTCTTTAAAGTGCTACATAGTCCCGTTTTACGTTCCCTGGGTGCAGCAGAGTTTTTCCTGGATATATCCCAGAAAACCCCTGCAGTCTAGACGTATCTTGAGTGATTGGGCAACAAAACAGCAAATTAAACTTAATGTTGATAAATGTAAAGTAATGCACATTGGAAAACTTAATCCCAACTATAAATATACAATATGATGGGGACTAATTTGGCTACAACTACTTAAGAGAGAGATCTTGGAGTCATTGCGGATAGTTCTCTAAAAACATCCACTCAGTGTGCAGCAGCAGTGAAAAAAGCAAATAGAATGTTAGAAGTCATTAAAAAAGAGAGAGAATAAGTATCTTTGGCCATTCAGTTCCTTCTTTCTCTCCCTACCCTCCATCAATGTGATCTGAGCTTTTGCTTAACCCTTCTTAATAATTGTTGAAGATTGAGTACATTCCAATTGAGATAAAAGCCTACGTTCTGCAAAATACTGTGTATTCTGGATAAGAAAATATTTAGAATTGACCTTTCCAGTTCACATGTAGCCTGGACTTGTAAGGACTTTGGGGTTCTTTTATATCTGCTCTCAAGCTCATTTGCATCAGGTGTAAACATAGGCTGAGGAATATAGTAAATAATGAAAACTTAAGCAAATGGTCCAAACAATTTTAAGAGTTTCAAACATATTGGCTACGTCTAGACTGGCATGATTTTCCGCAAATGCTTTTAACGGAAAAGTTTTTCCATTAAAAGCATTTGCGGAAAAGAGCATCTAGATTGGCACGGACGCTTTCCCGCAAAAGCACTTTTTGCGGAAAAGTGTCCGTGCCAATCTAGACGCAGTTTTGCGCAAGAAAGCCCCGATTGCCATTTTCGCCATCGGGGCTTTTTTGCGCAAAACAGTTTTTAACTCTACACTGGCCCTCTTGTGCAAAAACATTTCCGGAAAAGGGCTTTTGCCCAAATGGGAACGTCAAAGCATTTGTGCAAGAAGCACTGATTTTGGACAGTAGAACATCAGTGCTTTTGCGCAAAATCAAGCGGCCAGTGTAGACAGCTGGCAAGTTTTTGTGCAAAAGCAGTTGCTTTTGCAGAAAAACTTACCAGTCTAAACGCAGCCATTGAGTGATCTTTTTCACATTCATCTTGAAGAGTTTGTAGAAGGCATAATGATATCCTATCTGAAACATCCAGTTCTCCTTACATCTATTCTATATTTTAGAACCTTCATCGGTCTGTGTGGCTGTCTATCTGTGAGTCCATTTGTTTAACAACTCTTCCTAAATGGTAAGATCTAGGATCACCAAATTTGGAATGCAGCTTCCTTTTATCATAACTGAAAGCAAGGTCAGGGTTTAGTTGTGCCAGGACAATAGGATGTGCTTGGAATTAAATTGTTTCTCATAAAATGGAAAGGAAAAGGTAAAACAGTGGTTTTCAAATGTTTTTTCTTGTGACCCAGTTGGAAAAAATGTTATATGTCCATGACCCAATAATTATATCTTTTTAGAGTTTTCATAAATATTGCAATATTTCCCAGTTTTGTGGCAGCTGCCAGGGAGCTCCCTATAGGAACTTCCCCCGCAGGGAGCACCCCTGTAGCTGCAAACCCAGTGCCCACATACTTTTGGAATCACTGCTGTAGAATGACCACAAGGAGTAGCAAGGGGCCAGAAATGGGGACCCGGACAATTATAACCCCATTGGGCCAGCAGGAGGCAGAAGTGGAGAAAGGCACAGCTATCCACTGTATATTTCAGAGGATTTGTCTGTATGTCCATCCCCCAGCTGGGGGACATGCACCCTCCCCTGGCTATGCTCATTGCAGCTGCAATGGCCATGGACAGGTGCTTCTCTTTCAGCTGCGGTAAGAGAGAGCTGGGGTTGTCCTCTCCCCCCAGGGCGACCTGCATACTGAACCCCTCATTCTGAGCCCCACCCCAGAACAATGATTTAGATGGAAAAAAACCTTATCTACATTAAGGATGCAAGCAACACTAGGTATATCTTCTAGTTATACATATAAAAATCCCACATGCGTCTGTCAACTTTCAGCACTTCCTTATATAGCTGTCTACCACTAATAAATGTTAGGAGGGGTAGCACTATCACCATTAAGCATGTTAGAATCAATTACAAATATCAAAGTAGTAAGGGTATGTCTCAATTTAGTGTTCAAGAGGATTTTGGCAACTGATAAATTGTATCTGAAACTTTAAAGTATCTAGCACCAGTGTTCCCTCTAACATTTTCTATCCTTGGGCAGGTTGAATTTTCTTATGTGCAACACCAATATTGAAGTAGTGGTGGTGCGTGCGCACACACACACACACAATATAAATAAAGCAGTCCATATGTGTGGAAGAAAATATATTAAAATAGGGGTTAGTTAACAAAGACCAATGCTTACAATATTTAATATTAATTTTGCCAGCCACACTGTCCGGCGATCTGCGCATGCCTGGAAAGGAGAGTAAAAGGCATTCACTAAAGCTTATACAGTTTCTCTAGGGAATGTTTAAGATCCATGCTGTAAACATGCGAGTCAACTAGAAATAGTATTTCCAAAGGGAGCATGACTAATACAGTATTTACTGACACTGGAAAGGAGAGTAAAAGGCATTCACTAAAGCTTATACAGTTTCTCTAGGGAATGTTTAAGATCCATGCTGTAAACATGCGAGTCAACTAGAAATAGTATTTCCAAAGGGAGCATGACTAATACAGTATTTACTGACACTGGAAAGGAGAGTAAAAGGCATTCACTAAAGCTTATACAGTTTCTCTAGGGAATGTTTAAGATCCATGCTGTAAACATGCGAGTCAACTAGAAATAGTATTTCCAAAGGGAGCATGGCTAATACAGTATTTACTGACACTGGAAAGGAGAGTAAAAGGCATTCACTAAAGCTTATACAGTTTCTCTAGGGAATGTTTAAGATCCATGCTGTAAAAACAGGTAAAAGTTCTCCTGGTTTGAAACTTTCACCTTGTGTGTGTCACCAGCTCAAAGACTTAGGCTATGTCTAGACTGTTGCTTTTTATCAGAAAAAAGTACGCAAACTGTGCTCTGCAATTTGTGTACCTTTTTCTGATAGTTTTGTCGGAAGAGGCTTTTCCAAAATTTGGCCTGTCTACACTGGGCCAAATTTCAGAAAAACCTCCCCTTTCAGAAAAGCCCTTCTTCCTTGTGGAAAGAGGAAGACAGAGCTTCTGAAAGAGTGCATCTGTTCTTCCAAAAAAAATGTCGGAGGAGCAGACGTGTTCCCTGGATGTGGCAGAGTTTTTCCAGGATAACAGAAAAACTCTGCAGTCTAGACGTAGCTGTGTTAGACTATAACTGAAAAAACAACTAATGGCCCTGCAATACTTTAGAGACTAAAAACTCAGGCTGTGTCCAGACTCAGGGGTTTTTTCGAAAAAAGTAGTCTTTTTTCGAAAAAACTTCACCTGCGTCTAGACTGCAGCCGCGTTCTTTCGAAATTAAATCGAAAGAATGTGGCTTTTCTTTCGACGGTGATAAACCTAATTCCACGAGGAAGAACGCCTTCTTTCGAAAGTGCTCTTTCGAAAGAAGGCGTTCTTGACAGCAAACAGGCTTTTTAGAAAGAGAGCATCCAGACTCACTGGGTGCTTTCTTTCGAAAAAGCGGCTTGCTTTTTCGAAATTCCGCGTGCAGTCTAGATGCGCTCTTTCGAAAGAGGCTCTTTTGAAAGTATCTTTCGAAAGAGCCTCTTTCGAAAGAGGCTTGCAGTCTAGACATAGCCTCAGAGTAGAAGCCCCAGAACAAACTAACACATGGGCTTCAGGGTTTGTAGACAGATGCATGTTTCAAAGAGCTTGCAAATAAGGTTTCATCCTACAAAACTAGCTTCGCACCTAGTACTTGTTACTTCTTTTTCTTAAGAGCCAGAACTCTACCACATAGCAAAGATCTGGCTTTAATGCAATACAATATACCATGTATTAATTAGTAATACAGGATTTTAAAAAAATCACTAAGATCAGAATTTTAGATATCTGCAATACTCCAAAAAATTCTGTTAAAGGAATCTTTTTCTTTCTTATCTTAGGCCATTAACACCTATGTAAACTTTGTTTGAAATGTAATCATGCAAATGTCCTCCTGGCACATACACCCCCTCCCCATGTGGCCTGCCTTCTCCATCCTCCGTCCAACCCAGCTAGACAGAGAGGACTGCAGCAAGTAAGTCAGACACTCCAAACAAATTGCCTCTACCTCACTGCACAGATGCCAGTGCCTACTCACCCCTTCTTTTCCCCACCTATCTTGTGCATTCAGCCCCTTATTTCTCCCTTCTCAGGAGTCTTGAGAGTGCTGAGTTTCTGCCTCTCTACTTGTGCAGACAAGACTCTCCAAACTCCCCTCCCCTCTGACTCTCCCTCAGCCAATTACATCCTTCCTTCCTCTTCTGCTCCCCCTCTCCATCTCACCACTTATTCTCTCCTTATCTTTCTTCTTTATCTGCTCTGCGAGCTGCTCGGTTTCAAGCATGGAGCAGCTCCATTTAGATACTTGCTTAGTGAGACCATGCTCTTTCCCCTATCGGTCAGCTGAGCTCCCTGCCTGAGCAGGAGTGTTGAACTTCTGAGCAGAGCTCAGAAAACAGCTGCACAACTGCGCAGCTTGCAGGGAACTTAGTGTAGCACTGAAGTAACTTAGAATGAATCATAGGACTGGAACAGACTTTGAGAGGTCATCTAGTCCAGTCCTCTGCACTAAGCCAGAACTAAATATTATTCCAGATACAGTCTTTAAAATAGCTCAACTTCAGCTTATTTAAAATGGTAGCTTGCACCTGATCAATTTAACTTACTTAAATAAGGGTGTATGGACTGACATTCAATTCATTCTGGACACAGTGACTTTGTGGCGACTTTAGATACAGGGAAATGTTGGAAAACACTTCAATAATTATTCAAGGATGTTAACTATAATAGATGAGATCTAGAGAAGAAATTTTGTGGAGTACTTCTGGATATGCTAATGTTTTTCGTGATATATTGAAGCAAGAGTCTTGTACACGTTGGAAAATATAACTATAGTTTTAAGCAGTGGCGGGCAACCTGCAGTCTTAAGGGCCGGGGGGAGCCAGGCGGCTGCATCACAGGCCTAGCCTTCCCCAGCAGCAGCCCCAGCCTTAGGCGGTTGGGTGTGTAGGCAGTTTTGGGAAGGCTGTGCCTTCCTTTGCCTGCATTACTGCCTGCCCATGGCCAATATTAACATATACCATTTTGGCTAGGAATGAATCCTGTCAGGAAATAGTCCAATCTGTGAAGGGCCCAGTGCTGAGTCAGTTGCATGTATTAATAAAGACATGTAAATCAAGCTCCAGAACAAACCACCACCATTCCTGTCACAGTGGACCCGTGGATTTTGGGGAATTGTACTTGGGATGTCAAACTTCTGCTATATACGCCGCAGTATTCTGATTCATGCTAATACACAGAGTCCTGCCAGAACCAGCCCAAGCTTATTACTTTCAATTTTGTCCAATTAACTATTTTGTTTAAGATATTTGCAAATCATAATGTTACTTTAATTTTGAGATTGGTGTTACTGGTTCCAAGTATAGCACCTAGATTTTCTAATGACATGAGAAAAAAGAACCCATTCTCTAAAGCAGAGGTAAAGTGTATATTATTTGAAATATGTACACAGGATATCAGTTATGACTTGATGAGGAGTAAGGAAGCATTTGTGCACAAGAAAGGGTGCATTTTCATAAAGTTGAGGCCAGCTTCAATACATACATGTACACTTTTGCTAAAGCAAACTAACTGTGCCCGCAAAAGGCACTTGCATGAGCAAATATCTTTTTGCATGCATGAACGGCTTGGGTGTATGCACATGCATTTTTGCACAGAAATCTCTGCTTCCATATTTGGAAAAATTATTCTTAAATATAAAATCATAATTATTTTTAGTTATTTTTTTTAACTTCAGTAAACATATACCCATACAAATAAGGAGCAGATGGTACCTTAAAGAAGGCAGCCCAACTTCTCTTTGCCTTTGGAATTCTTTTACAAATTTCTGGCTTATTTTTGCATCCCTACTGAGATTATTCATTAGACGTGTGAACTGCTTGGGTTTGTTTCTGCATTCCACTAACAGCTGGCGATAAGCAACACCATTAAATGTTAAGTATCCAAGAGCACCAGCTGCAGCTATACGAATCTAGAAGAAACAGAAGAGTTGTCCCTGATAATGGCTTAAAGATGATTATCATTCTGATTTCAAAGAGGTATTCTTCACATTAAATAAAACAACAAGATTATCAAAATACAGCAAGGGTACATGTTCACAGCTCTCAACCTCTCTGAAACCCCCCCAAATGAGGATCATAATAATAGTCAATAATTTAAAATAACAGAAAAAACCCCACCAGTAAGACAAAATTAAATTTGGGTCTGCAGCAGTTGATAACCTGATGCACACTTGTGCCCTGATCCTACACAGCAGGGAGTTTTACTATTGACTTTAATGAGGGCTAAGATCAAGCATCTTATAATGAAGCACACATTGAAAAAGATGCTTCAGGGGGGTAGCTGAGTTAGTCTGTAATCTATTCACCAGTCATAAAGATGCAAAGTAACTCTAGTACTTACCCCTGGAAGCAGACCTCAAATTTATGAGATTTGTGGTTTTGCACATATGGCCACAAGGCCTGTTTTATGCAATCCAGTCCTTACCACTTCTAGGGAAGGTGATCCAAAAGATAAAGGTGAGAAGAAGCAAAGATAAGTACATGTTGGCTAAGGAAATCATGGTTCTCCAAAGTGATAGAACTGAAAGTGGAATCACCAATGCAGCTTTCAATGAGAACATTCTCTACCAAACCCCTCCACACCCAGACTGTCTATAGGTGACAGCTGGAGCCATTGCAATGCTCTTTTCTTCAGGCAAGATTCAACACTACAGGGTTGCTCCTCCATCTGGACTAAATTTAGCTTATGGCGTGAAGAACATAACAAACCCCCCCAATGATCCTGGTATCCCAGTTTTCCTGGAGCCTCTTTAGGAAGAGAGTAAACAAAAAATTCTGCCTAGGAAGGTAAATAAAGGAACTCAGCCTAGCTCCATACCACACAAGATGTCAGCAATCAGTAGACTCCGACTTGCTGGATTCTCTGGTTTCTTAATAGAGAACTCTCAAGAATCCAGGTTTCTTAGAGCAATTAGTCTGGCTAAACTTGTGGTTAAACTATTTGTTCCCAAAAAAGACATCCCATAGAAATTAAATTCATAATACCACATCCTTTTGAGCCACTGACATCAATAACTGTATTCTACTTATTCATCAAAGCCTGTTTTCTGATTGCAATCGTGTCTACTAGATGAGTTTTTGAACTGGCAGTTCTATTCACATAAGAATCTCATTGTGTGTTCCATGATGACAAGCAGGTCTTAAGAACACCACAATCATCCTTGTCTAAGGTGAATTAATTTTTTCATTCCTTATAGGAAATACTCTTCCCTTCATTCTGTTCAAATCCAAAACACCTGAGAAAAAGCTATGGCACACATTAGACATCCAAAAAGCTCTAAAGAACTGTAATGTGTGCCCCAAATAAAAAAATAGGGCTTTTTGTTTGTTTTCTTCCATCCAAAGAACCAAGGACACAGGGTAAACCAAGCTATCATTAACTATATGGATCAGTGAGTAATCCTGTGGCACCTTTTAGAGACTGACAAAAATATACAGAATCATGAGCTTTCGTGGGTAAATTTTTAGAGACTGACAAAAATAGACAAAATCATGAGCTTTCGTGGGTAAAACCCACTTCATCAGACAATAGGTTTCACCCATAGAAGCCCATGATTCTATATATTTTTGTAAGTCTTTTAGGTGCCACTGAACTACTCATTGTTTTTAAAGTTGCAGACTAACACGGCTACCCCTCTGAGACTATCTGGATCAAGCTACACATCACAGAAGCATGCAAGACCTCAGGTGTTCCGCTCCAGAAGACAATAATGCTCATGCTGCAAGAGCTATGATGACTCTGTAGGCAGAAAAAAAATTATGCTTCTACTCCAGAAATCTGTAGGGCAGCAATGAGGTCATACATTAACACAACAGGTTGAACCTCTTTCACCAAGGACTCCCTGGTCTGGCATATTGCTGGACCAGAGACACCCAGTGGACGGCCAGAGGAAGGAGCCCTGAAGGGGCCAGGAACCCAGCCAGGCTGGCAGCAGTTGAGGTTAACATCTGGGAGCCCTGATGCAGGAGCTCGGCAGACCCAGTGGCAGGGTTCTGCTGTGGTGGGGCTGGGAGCCCTAGTGGTAGGGCAGCAGTCTGCTATGGTGGGACCAGGAGCCCTGGCAGTGCGACCATTGGCTGCCATGACTGGGCAGCAGGGCTCATGGCAGGTGGGGAGCTGGCCTGGAGGCCAGCCCAGGAATGGAGCTGGATTAGCAGGCTGGTGTCAGGGGGCCAGAAATGACCTCCCGTGGTCCAGCAAAATCCCTCCTCCGGAGCCACTCAGGTCCCAAGGGTGCCAGATCAGGGAGGTCTAATCTGTATTATTAGATCCTATAAAGTGGACTTTATGTCCTTTTCAGAGGAGGGCTATGATAAAGTCAGTGGTCTAGTAATAGCACTGACATTTGGAGTAATTAACTTGAGGCTGTGGGAGGGTCTCTCATCTCAATTTTTTTCTTACTTCTGTTCATGGCTTGCTACTTACCATACATCTCAGAATACTGGTAGAGTCCTTTCTGATAGTAGCCGCCTGTCTACACTGGTCACGAGTATTTGCGCAAGAACACTGACTTTGTACTGTACAAAATCAGTGGTTCTTGTGCAAATACTCTGACGCTCCCGCTCAGGGATAAGCCCTCTTGCGCAAGTACTCTTGTGCAAGAGGGCCAGTGTAGATAGCCAAGTTAATTTCTTGCGCAAGAAAGCCCGATGGCTAAAATGGCCATCGGAGCTTTCTTGCGCAAGAGAGCGTCTACACTGCCACGGATGCTTTTGCACAAAAGCATCTGTGCCAGTGTAGACGCTCTCTTGCACAAATACTTTTAACAGAAAAACTTTTCCGTTAAAAGTATTTGCGCAAAATCATGCCAGTCTAGACGCAGCCTTGGGGAAAATCCTGGCCTCACTGAAGTCAGTGCAAGTTTTGCATTGATTTCAATGGAGCTAGGACCTTTGTCTTACACAGTTATCTCATTTTAATATGTTTTTGCTTGTTTAGTGAGAGTTTAATATTTCTACTACTGATTGAACCTCCCAGGTCTCCAACCAGGGAATTTGCTGGAGCAATATGAGGCTCTGCTCCAGTGGCAAAAGAGGGGCCGGCATTGATGGAGCTGGCTCAGAGGCAAGGCATTCAGGGGAAGGGGCAGGTTGGCTGCAGAGCTCCAAGGCCTCTTCCCCCAAGTGCCCCCCCTTCCCTGCTCTTCCCTCCCAAGTGCCCCCCCCCTTCCCTGCTCTTCCCTCCTTACTCTTCCCTCCTTGAACACAGCAAATCAGCTATTTGTAGTGCTCTGGAAGCTCTGGGAGAGTGGGGTAGGAGTTGCTAAGTGAGAGTCCTCCGGCTTTTCCTCGTGATTGCTCAAGCCCTGGAGCACCCATGGATGCTATACCATGGATATTGCTGGATGAGAGAAGACCAGATTATAGAGGTTCAACTTGTAGTACATATAAAGTTAATATCCATTAGCTAATTGTGCAAACAAAGAGATTTAATAACAATGAAAATTAATGTAAAACTACAACATGAACATTTTATTTTTGGGAGGAAGGAGAAATTTTACCTCTTCTTTATCTGAGTACAAATGATAACAAAGCTGTTGGACAGTTCCTAGCTCTGTAATTGCTTCTGGAATACCTGCTCTTGTATGAGCCAGGCTAGCCAATAACTTCCCTACAAGTTAAAGTAGACACTACACATTATATAAATGTCAATCAGTTTTCTCTCTTCCAGTCTCATGCATAATCTTAATGAAATTATCCTACCTCCCAAAATGTGTTTAAATATTGTCAGTGAAGTCATCATACCCACAATCTTTGTCTTCTGTCACTATTTCTACTGTTACATTCTCTATTGCATCTAACATACTGAATTTCTGTCTCCAAGAAATTTGCTCTTGTACGAGGAATAATTTTAAAATACTCTATTAGTATTTTATTAAATACTTCTACTTTAGCATCTTTGGACAAAATCTTGGAATCTGTCTTCAGTTTTTACTCATTCATTACCCAAGCAAAACTCTCATTGATGTCTATAAGCATTTTACCTGAGTAAAAACTGAATAAAAATGGAGGGGCAGATTATAAATCTACAGTTTGCTCAGGATAAGGGACAGCATGTAAGATGTGTTGCCCCACAAGCAGACCAAGAACTGAACTGTGTTTCAGAGACACAATTCAGTTCCTAGGTCCCCACTTGTTTGCAGGTGGGAGGTAATTTGCAAAAGTTTTTTTCCTTATACAGATTACTTCTCCCTCTACACTAGTTTACCTGTGAGGGGTATAGGGTGAAAGTAGAAGCCCTGTAGAAGCTGCTGCTCCCTCCTCCATGCTGTAACTCAAGATGTGGGCAGCAACTGCTGCAGACCTCTTACTCCTTTGTGCAGGCATTTTGGAAGTGCTAATCTCCTAACCTGAATCTACCTCCTAATATTCCATGGTAAATTCTACTATCCTACTATTCCAATATCTCATTTTGGAGAAACAACAGTGTTTTATGAAAATGCTTAGTCTTATATTGCTATGAATTTTTACTCACTGTGGCAAAGCTCTGGCTGTGCCCTGAGGGTCCTGCACTTCTAGGCAGTTATTGCATGCCTCAGAGGTTTGCTGTGAACCTCCACACTACCTCTCATCTTTTCTAGAGGCCAGGATCACAGCTTACTGAGCCATTTTCACTACTGGCAAAGTAATTGGGGTGTAACCTCTCCGTAAACCTGGCCTCTCTTCAGGAGCAGACTTTTGAGTAGCATGGGGAGAGTTGGGGGGAACCTGGGCCCGCCCACTACTCCAGGTTCCAGTCTAGGGACCCTACATAGCAGCAGCTGATGGGTTTTTTCCTCTAGTTCCAATACAGCAGCCTTTTCCCTGGGCCACTTCCCCAAACATTCCCCAAGTACCTTCTCCCTGGTACCTGAGTGAATCTTTCCTTTCTCAGCAACCCACTTCTTCCTCTCAGTCCAACACTCTCCCTGACCTGGGAGACGCCTTTTAAAGCAGCCCCACAGGTCTTAATTGGCTGCAGTTGTCTGATTAGCCTGCTACTTCAGGCAAGTTCTTAATTAGTCTCAGGTACTTGCCTTGATTATGTGGCAGCAGTCTCTGGCAGTTCACTCAGGAAACAAACAAACAAAAAAACCATTGTCCTACCATGTCTGCCCTCCACCAAACTATTGTAGCCAGCTGCCCTGGGTCTGTCACACAACCTTGATGTTGCATTAGCTGCTTAGTTTTTCTACTCACATACTGGCATTTCTGAAGATGTTCTAATTTTATTTTTATGTGGAATGGAAAGATTGCTTATGCTGCTTCTAAAAAAGCAGATTGCTTTTTTAATGCGCTTTGTCAGAGTGGATGCTCTCTTTCGGAAGTTTTTTCAGAAGATCTCTTCTGGTAAAGTTTCTTCCAAAAGAAGCCTGAAGTCTAGACATAGCCTCAGTCCTTTACTCTTTGCCTTCCCCCACATCTTTTCTGAATGGAAAACCCAGCAGGCCTTAATTGGCTGCAAGTGCTTGATTAGCCAGCTGCTTCAGGCAAGCTCTTAATTAGCTTCAGGTGCCTATCTGCTTTGATTACTTGGCAGCAATCTCTGGCAGTTTATTCAGGGAACAGAAAAGGGTTCAGCTAGCTCCTGGTATGTCTACCCTCCACCAAACTATTATAGCTAGCTGCCCTGGTTCTGTTACATCATCTTTTCTTCTTCTTACCTGTTAGAACAAGAGTAGCTGTCTTTTTAGAATTCAGTAGTCCAACTAAAATAGCAATACCTCTTGCAGACAAAGTAACTTGGTCCACATCCACTATGACTCTGGCTAAAACAACAATCTGAAATCAAAGGAAGATGGTTTTTTAAAAATATGGATTATTTAAGTAGGTTTCTTCCTTTTCCTTTTTTCCATTTATTAATAAAAAAATCACTTATTGTGTATAGTTTACTTGACACTTTCAAGCCTATCCCTTGCAATTTGTACCTTTACCTATTGGCAGAAAAAGGTACAACCTTAGTACAGATATGTGAATGCAATACAAGCAATTTTCTCCAGATAATTCATACATCTTCAGGTGTTACAGACTTTTCCAATACTCTACACATTTACTGGTTTGTTAAAATTATCTTGATACTATAGTCATTCTTCTCTTGTGCTAAATTAAAATACAGAGGGGAAAAACCTGCACTCCTTAATCAAACAGAACTTCAATTTTTTTGTCTGAGTAAAGATAAAGGATCAGATCCGTAGCCAACATTTTCTTTTACCATGAAAAACAGACCCAAGTTCTGATTGTTTTTTTTTAAACAGTTCATGATTGGAGACTTGCAGAGAAGACTAGGATTTTTAGAGTCTGCAATGTACCAAGCAAATTGTATAAGTGTTACCATGTTCCGCCATTTAAGCTATTTGGAAAGACCTTATATGAATATTTGTATGTAAAAATCAGTTCTGTTGGTTAGTCTAATTACCATAAAATCACATAGAGACCCATTGCCAGTCTAAAATTTATAACATATTTTGTGTATTAAGAGTAAAAGCCCTATTTCTGTACCTGAAATGCAGCCAGTGCTTTATCAGTCTCAATTTCTGAGAACAGAAAAGGATCAAAGGTGGACAGTGTAATTGCGCCGGTCTCCAACATCAGGAATTGTTGGACAGGATTGTTGTATGCAAAAAGGGCTAAAGCATATCCAGCTCGTAAACGAATATCCTTAAAAAAATAAAAAACATGAATCCCACAGAAACATGCACGTTCTGAATTTTTCTTATTATCTATAAATTAAAGAATAAAATACTGTATTCTTTCATATATTAAAATAGTTACCAACCTCCTATCCTCATATTTTTGTCTTTTGTTTTTATTGATCTTCATACAAATACAGGTTGGACCTCCCTAGTCCAGCACCCTCAGGACCTGACCAGTCCTGAAGGAGTAAGCTTGATGAACCAAGGGAGGGGGGCCACCAGCCTCCTATCTGGGCTCCACTCCTGTCTGCCAAGTCCACTGCTGGCCTTGACCACTGGGTTCTGCTGCCAGCCCTAGCCGGGCTCTGGCCACTGTCCCCCCGCCCCCACTCCCCAGCCCAGCTCTGCTCCTGGACACCAGCCACTGGACTGGCTCTGCTCCCAGCTGGCACCCTCAGCCACCAGATTGGCTCAACTCTCAGCCCTGGCCACGCTCCCCGCCCCAGATCACTGGATCAGCTCTGCTCCCAGCCAGACTCTCTGAATGTCAGCTACCGGACAGCTCCATTCAGCCCCAGCCAAGCACTGGCCACTGGCACCCCGGCTATCGGCCCCATTCCTGGCTGCTGGCCACCTGATTGGCTCTGTTCCGGGCCTCACCAGGCTCCTAGCTTCCAGACTCCCAGCTGGCCCTGGCTTCCTGGTCCAGGAGCTCTGCTGGACCAGAGAGGTTTAACCTGTACTGCAAGCCAAACCCTCAGAGGTTAGATAATGACAAGAATGACACTCAGCACACTGACACTTCTCTTTAATCAGAAAACCCCAATCAAAAACAAACAAAAATCCCCTCTGAAACAGACAGCACAAAAAAAGAAATGAATAAAAGTAAAAAATAAAATCCCTATCCCTGCAGATTTGTATCCCAAAAAAGACAAAGTGCCACAGACTCCATGAAGTCCACTAAGAACTTCACTGTTGGTAATGATTTTACATGGCAGTATTTCAGACACAGTGAGTGGCAGCAGCATAAAACCATAAGGCAAATATAGTATAGCACAAACTGTGTGATTGAGCTGGACTGTACAGCGGCCAAGGTCTGTCTGAGTAAGAAGAGGAAGTTACTCACCTTGTGCAGTAACGATGTTTCTTCGAGGTGTATGTCCCCGTGGGTGCTTGAAAGTAGGAATAAGAAATCCTCCAGAAAAGGCTTTATTTTCCGGAGAATAACGTCTAGACTGGCGCTTTTCTCCGGCTTTTCCCCAAGCCGGAAAAAAGCGGCAGCCATGTAAATGCAAATCCTGTGGGGGATATTTAAATCCCCAGTGGAATTTGCAATTGTGATTTGCTACATTAGCATCCCTTTTCCGGAAGGGATGCCAGTGTAGACATAGCCCTGAGGTGTAGTCTGGAATGTTGCACTACATATGTCGTTGCCGCCATGTGTCCCAAGAGTTGGAGGCAAGTAAGTATTGACACTCTTGGGCTGATGGATAGTGTCTGCGTGAGGTTTTGAATTTTGTGAAAACTTTCTGTAGGAAGATAGGCTTGTCTGTTGTAGAATCTAATCGTGCCCCAATGAACATGAGGGATTTTTGTGGTATGAGCGAAGACTTCGGAACGTTCAATACAAGGCCCACATCTGTGAATAAGTCTCGTGTGACCTGAGTGGCCGACAGTGCACTTTCAAACGAATGAGCCTTGATCAGGCAATCGTCCAGGCATAGGAAGATCATGATGCCTTGACGATGAATGTACGCTGCCACCACCACAAGTGTCTTTGAAAACACTCTGGGTGTGGAGGAGAGGCCAAACGGGAGGACTTTGTACTGAAAGTGCTGCATACCCACGACGAACCTCAGAAAACGTCTGTGTGCTGGGTGTATCGTCATGTGGAAATACGCATCTTGTAGATCGAGGGATGTGAATCAACTGTCTTTGTTCAGGGTTGTAAATATAGAAGTTAGAGTCACCATCCTGAATTTCTGCTTCCTGAGGTACCGATTGAGATTGCGCAAGTCCAGGATTGGTCTCCATCCTCCCGATTTCTTCTCGGTGAGAAAATAGCAGCAGTAGAATCCCTTGCCCCAAAATTGATCGGGTACTGCCTCCACCGCACCAATCTCTATGAGACAGAGAACCTCCTGCATTAGGAGATTCATGTGAGATGGGTCCCTTAAAAGGGACGGGGTTGGAGGGGTGATGGGGGAACAGGAAAGAAAAGGGATGGAGTATCCTGATGTTACTATCTCCTGGACCCAACGGTCTGTGATGATGGTAAACCATCTGTGCTGGTACAGTCTCAGTTGATGATGGAATAACTGCTGTGTTTCCGGGTCGTACATTAAAGGAATGGTTCTCAGTCCCTCGATCATACCATCAAACTTGCTGTCTGTTGTTCTGGGAATTAGGGTTTCGTCCAGTTTGCGGTCTTCGCTTTTGTTGATGTTGTCTGGAGCGTTGTTGTTATTGTTGTGGGTGGTCTTGTTGTCTGAACCTTGGTGCCCCATACAAGAAGAGTCTCTGTCTGAAGTAGGGAGTATATCGTTTGCGACTATATGGAGATGTATACATCCTTAACGTTTTCAGGGTAGTTCTAGAGTCCTTGCCTGAATGCAGAACTTGGTCCATTTTCTCTGCGAATAGACTCTGCCTGTCAAAAGACAGGTCTTCTACCTTAGATTGTAAATCTTTAGGTATGGAGGCCATTTGTAGCCACGAAGAGCATCTCATAACCACTGATGTTGCCGTGGCCTGTGCCGCTGCATCGTCAATATCCAGGGAAATTTGTAAGGCTGTTGTTGAGGCCGTATGGCCTTCCTGGATAACTGATTTTAAGAGCTGCCGTTTCTCATCAGGCAAGTTCTCTAAAATTGCTACCATCTTCGAATAATTATCGAAGCTATGGTTAGACAGATGGGCCATATAGTTCACCATTCTCAGTATAAGTATGGCTGAAGAATAAACTTTCCGTCCAAAAAGATCTAAGCATTTAGATTCTTTATCAGCCACAGCATTCCTATGCTGTGGTGTCTTAGATTTTTGCTGGGCTGCATCCTCAACTAACAAGTTTGGCTGGGGATGCATGAAGAGAAATTCCATCCCCTTCAGTCGAACGAAATATTTCTTGTCCGCCTTCTTATGAGTGGGCTTAGCAGATGCCGATGCTTGCCATATGTCATTGGCAATTTCTAGGATTGCTTCATCAAAGGGTAATGCCATCTTCGATTTTGGGGATTTCTGAAGATTCTTCAACAGCTTATGTTGTTTCTGTTGGACCTCCACTACATGCAAGTCTTGTGATTCTGCCACTCTTTTAAAGAGGTCTTGAAACTGACGAGTGTCATCTATTGGAGAAGAATCGCCAGGGAACACTGCATCATCTGGAGAGGGAGAAGCAACAGAATGGTCCACTGGGGATTGCTCCTACTGTTGTTGTTCTGGTGTCACTAATTATGCTGGCTCTAAGCGTACTAGAGGGCAACTGGTGTCACTAATTGTGCTGGCTCTAAGCGTACTAGAGGGCAAGGCACATTTCCAGCCGGTGTCAAGGGTTGAGTGGAGGCAGCTGGTGGCATAGGGACCCTGCAGCTGATGTGGGAACGATACTGATAGCGTTGCGGAGATCGGGAAGAAGAATGCCCAGAAGAGTACTGTTGCTCATTAGCAGGGCTCGCCAGCCGCGCGGTTCTGCACTCTACACATGCGCAGATCGTTATGCGCAGATCGCTCAGCGCCGGCTCTTCTGGGGTGTAATCTACTCGCCACAGGCGAGTAGATTACATTATTTGTCGAGCCCTGCTCATTAGGATAGTCGCTATGGTGATGGTCACGATGATAACGAGACGATGAATATGCAGGTGACTATCGTCATCTGTACTCGTGACGATATCGAGGTGAAGATGAGCGTGTAGGTGACCTATGTGAATGAGATCTGCGTCTGTTGTACAAAGGTGATTGAGAATGTCTGTGGTAGCGCCGTGGTGATGGTGAGTATCAATGATAGTGTCTTCTCAAGATATTGGTAACATGAGAGTCATGCCTATGTGACTCGGAGAAAGCGGAAGAAGATGATCTGTACTGTGAATAAGGAGGTAAGTGTTCAGGGCTTGGTGAGAAGTGAAGCCTTGTGCTGGTTGAATGATCAGCTCCTGCTGGCAGCAATGATTGATGTGACCTCTGGAGGGAGGCTTGGTGCTGCGGTGCCGGTGAATGAGCTGGGAGCTGGTACGGTGCAGTTCTGGAGGCTGAAAAAAGAAGTTACTCACCCTGTGAAGTAACGATTGTTCTTCAAGATGTGCCCCATTTGTGCTCCACTCTAGGTGTTGGGTCCCATCCCAGCGCCGCAGCTCGGAGACTTTTCATAGTCGTGCTTTGCCGGCTCGCGCATGCGTGCTTCCCCAGGATAGCGTTCGTGCCTTTGATCAGCCATGCATGAGCCGGCAACCGTCAGTTCCTCTTACCCACTCATCTGGAAGAAAAAATAAAGAACAATTCCGGAGCGGGGAGGAAGGGTGGGTCGTGAAGCACCCACAGGGCACATCTTGAAGAACAATTGTTACTTCACAGGGTGAGTAACTTCTTTTTCTTCTTCGAGTGGCCCCGTGGGTGCTCCACTCTAGGTGACTCCGGAGCAGTATCCAGAACAGAATTAGAGCACTCCAGAATCAAGACTACCAGCACAATTAAGTACTGCTGTAGCCACAGAAGAGTCTGAAGCAAACTGATCGACTATAGCATAGTGCTTCATAAAAGTCACATTAGAAGATCATGTTGCTGCTCTGCAAATGTCTCCATAGTAGTAGCAACTCCCCTAGTTGAATGAGCCCTAAGAAAAGAAGGGAGAGGCTTCCCTTGTAGCGAGTGGCACATGGATATACATGAAACTATCCAGTCTTGAAATACACTGAGAAGTTAGAGGCTGTCCTTTTGAATGGTGCACTAATGATACCAGCAAATGGTCTGTTTTCCTAAAACCCCACGTTCTGTCAATGTAAAATGCTAAGGATCTTCTCACATCCAACGTAT